CCCGCCGTGTTGGCCCTCCCGATCGAGTGGTCCATCGATGGGCTTGACACGGCAAAACCACTCAATTTCGCGTGCGGCCACGCGACCAAAACCTTCGTCGACGTCAAGTCGCGATGGACCACGATCGGTTGAAGCATCACGTGGAGGTATTGCAGCGCGCGGGCAATGCTGAGCGCGAGCGGGGCTTTGTTGGCCCACTCGAGCCCGGGATGCGCAATCAAAAAGTCGAGAAGGTTGCCTTGGGACAGGTACTCTGTGACAGCGACGAGCGACCGCGGGTCGCCGTCCTGCCACGCATATCCAACAAGCTCGACGATGTTGGGGTGGTTGAACGATGCCATCAGTCGGATCTCTTCGATAAACGTATCGACTTGGACCTGGTTGATCTCGACTGAAGTCGACAGCGCCTTGATCGCCACGGGCCGCGCGTGGTAGTACCCAAAGTAAACGCTAGTGACGGGGCCGGACGCGAGGACTTCGACGCACTCGATCGTGCCAAAGTCGAGTCGCTTGGACACGTCCAAGCGAAGCAGGATCATGCTCGAGTCAAGCGGAGGGAGAGGAGGCGGTCCCTCGAATCGCCGCCGCATTGGACGGGTCAACGGAACAGCATGCAACGAAAACGAAGGCACGGGGGACAAGGCAGGTGGTGGCGGCGGTACTCCTTTTGGCGTCGCCGTGAGCTCAAGGTACGGCTCAAAATCGAGCGGACGGGGGTGGGCTCGTCGATAGCGTCGACGGCACCACCACACAAGCAGGACCAACGCGACAAGGCCAAGGCCACTTCCCACGTATGCGACGGTGGGAGTCGCCTGCACTGGTCGACTGGATGTACCTGCACTTGGATTCACGGCAGGGAGCGCAGTTGGATTCAATGGTGGAGGAGGTGCCGTTGTCGCCGCCACTTGAATCTTTCTCGTCGCGATGTCCTGGAGCCAACCGTCCATCGCAGGACTCGACGCCGGCAAGAGCGCTGTTTTCACGTTGAAATCGCACGGAATGATGAGTCCCGCAGGCTGGTTGGACGGCGGACATTCTCCCCACGGCCATCGACCAAAGTTGGGAGATGTATGGATCGCCATGTTGGTCTCGCCGACGCCTGGCCCTTCATGCCGTCGGAGAAGTGGGGAAGGCACGTCTGTGGTGGCGAGGGCGTCCTGCGCCAACATGGCCGAGAGGCCATCGGGGACGTCGTCGAGCACTTCCACGGCGCATTTCGTGACTTTGGCATAGAACGTAGAGTATTCGGTCCGTTCTTGTCGCAAGTACTTGCCGTTTGGCCCACCAACGCATTCGCGCGTCGTCTGGGTCGGCGATGTCGTGAACGAGTCGAACGTGGCAGCAATATCCGCCATGGAGTCGCCTTGGCGCTTCACAAACACCTGCGCCCATGAGAACGTCCCCGATCGGTTGACGGCAACAAGACCCAAGTCCCATGCCAGTGCCTGAAGGGCAAACGGTGACAGGTCCGAGGGTGTTAGATTAAACATTCCCAGGCGAGATGTGGCGGCAAGCGGTAGCTCCGACGGAAGCAAACTCCACGACGTTGGAGCCGCCGCGCCGCTTGCGTCGAGCGCTCTGTACCGACGCACGTAGTCGGAGCCCTCGGTCCACTTGAGCATGGCGAAGGTATCCGAATGGACTTGAAAAGATGCGATCTTGGAAACGTCCACATCAACAGATACAGACCAACGTCGAATACGAGGAAGGTTGCGGCGGGGTTCGATCGGTCGACAAATGGACGTCCCTGCGGTCGCCACGGCTGCAAGATAGCTCTTGCCCGTCAAACATGACTCCTCCATCACGGACAGCCATGCGAAGAATCCCCAATGTGCATCATGCAGCAGCTAGAAGGACGTCGGCTAGTCAGCGCACCTTGGTCGTTTCGGTATCACGTGATGCTTGTGGTCGTCGTGGATTACTACATTTACGATGGATTTGGTCGTACAACGCCAGAACGAGAAAACGTCCTCGGCCTGGGGCTCACTATGTCGTATGGCCTTGGCGAAGTGGAGCTGCGCGGTCATTCGCGGCAACCGAGGCTATCCACTCAGCAGACGTGCCTTTTGCAATCCCACCGATGCTGTGCTCCATCTCCACAGACAGTACGGCGCGCGCGACACCTCGACGCCAGCGCACGCCACCACCACAACCAGGGTGTCAGCTCGGCCGAAGTGAATTCCGACTGCGACGCTTCAATGACGAGTTATGCATGCGGCAGTGGGAATGAGTGCATGCCATGAAGTCAAGGCGGTCACCGAGCCGACGACTTTGGCGCTCGCTGCACCTCTCGGCTTCCAAACTTGCCAACGTGAAGTTCGAAACCAATGGTCACATTGTGCTTGCCAATACGATGGAGCGACAACTCGCCACGAGAGCTCGGCCGACGATGGACACCAAGATTGTCAGCTGGTCAAGTCGCTGCTGCACACGCATGTGTGGTCGTTTGCAGTGGCGGTAGTGGAAATTGTCTCCTTTGCTTGAACAACGCCGACGGGACGGGACGCCACCGCAACCAAGTCCATCACACCGCGCTCGCGGTTTCTCTACGACATCGCCTCTTCCTCCTCGTGAAGATGGCTTTGGCTGCTTTGTACGCCAGCGACATCGTCAAACTCGACGCCACACACCTCATTCACGCCACCGGCTCGTGCTCGCAGTCTCCTTGCGCTCAAGAACTTGTGCCTCAAAATCCACGTTCTCGCACGTAAAGACAGTCACGGCGGCAACAGCACGCCAATTTCACGTGCTTTTGACGCTGAATGGGATGAATGAAGGACTGAAGTTTGACCGGTCGACAAGGGACACATGCATGCATGTGCATGTCACTGCCGCCCTCGCTCTCACTGTGGACCCTGCCGTCGTTGCGAACGGTTTCCGCTTCGTCCGTGCCATGACCAGTTCGACTACATCCATGGCCATCACCTTGCTCAATGTGGCTGACATACTCGTGGACTTGCAGCCGTGGGTGTGGCGCGGCCTTGAAGTCGGACACAAGGAGACGGTGAGCCTGACGCCGCCGCTCGAGTTGTCTCGAATTCCTTCCCCGAGGCGGAAGCCAAGCAGATCATTGCCGAAGGATGTCCATTGCTAAACCGATACCGAATCATCCTGAACGGAAGGGCAGTCGAGTCGAGCAACATTGCGATGCTTGCGCCGTCGCCCTTGACCGGGGTGTTCCAGCAGCGATCACGCGGCTACCGAATCCGAACTTTGTGAGCAAACTCGAGCTGGTCCGGTACGAAGCCGGCGATTTCTACCGCAAGCACCCCTAGCACGATGGGGGCACCGTTTGTACTGCCGCCTTCACACTACGCCATGGGGTATTCGCCCCTCTCACCAAGGTCAAGGCATCTCAACGTCCGAGCCCCTGACAAAGTCATCGACTTGATGCCGAGGCACGATGGATGCCAAAAGAGGTGTCAAGTAGCAAATCTTTCACGATGAAAGCAGACGGCACGGAGACGACAACGTTGCACGATGCATTTTGGTCATGTGTCTCGATCTGCCGCATTCACAACACCGCAGATGGCCATGTAAATGGATCGCCCGGGTTGGCGTACTCACTTGCATCCATGTGAACCAAACCATCCTGCGCTCATGCTCTATCAGCAAGGCCATCGCGACTCCCTCTCTCGACTCGAGCGCCTCGCTCGCGCGACGAAACTTGCCAACGACGTCCGTTTCAAATGAGTTTTTGTGTTTAAACGCAAGGCGAGAACCGAGTTTAAAACAATATCACGATGGAGTGGAACCACGTTTAAACACTGGATACGATGTATGAAACGTGATGAAACCGTTTAACGCCATCCAGTTCCTCGAGAAGAATTGGGTTCACCATGGAGAGATGCGCGCCGCGATCCTGGCGGAGTTGACATGTGCTAACGCCACACGTCGGTTATGTTCTTGTGCAAAGAGGAGATGGAGGGACTGGCATCGCCTGCCAACCTACGGCAACGTGACCGCTCAACTGCCTGCCATGTTCTCACGGCCACTGCCCTCGACCACAACTCGTTGCAACGTTCTCACTGAGAACTCACGTGCCAGGTAACCGAGTCTGTGCATTGATCAACTTCACTTGCTTCAAGATGCGGCTCGCTTGGGGTATGTGTGTCGCCTCCGTGTCCGCGGCGGTGGTAAAAGACAAGCGATATTGCGAGCTTCTCTTTGTCCAGCCTCCCGTCGGCGGAAGCGCCGTTGCTGACGTGTTCAGCACGTTCGGCCTGAATGCGTGCCCTGCTTCTGTGTGGAATGCCATCACGCCCATCAACGCCAGAGACAGCGCATCCATTGCAGTCGTCCTGAATGGGCCGCGCTATTGGACCATGGACGAGTTCGGCCCGCTGTCGACCTCCGTCGTGAAAGACCGCGTGGTCAAGACCGTGCAAGGACTCAACGTGACGCTGCTGGGCCGCGTTTCGTTGCCGTGGCCCCTCCCGACGGGGTCTAGCGGTTTCTATAAACCCAGTGCTGTCACCCGCAACGCCGACTTTGTCTGGCGAGCCGGCTCCACTGCGTTCTACTTGACCAACGAAGAGAGTGGAGAGCGGTACATCATGCAGTCGTATTCGCAGCAGGTCCATCCAAGCCTGACATTCGCTTCACTACCAGCGCTGCGATTTCGCGAGCTCCCGCCGCGATGGTCTTTTTCTGCCGTCGTCCTGCCAACTGACGTCAACGTAACGACCCCTGCGCTCGTCGGCGGGGCAGCGTCTGTCGGGTTGGTGTTGCAAGACGAATTCGGCAACTCGTACTCGTATGCTGGGAACGTTGATGCGTACTTGGCGCGAATGAACCAGTGCACAGAAGTGAGTATCGTGGGCGATGCCACGTACTGCATCCCAACCATCCCAACAATTTGCAGTGGCAGCGGGCCATCACCGACTGGCACAGCGTGTCCGTCCAAAGGAGATGTGGCGGTCAAGGACTGCTGGCCACACTTGCCAAGCTTCGCCAGCGTCCATTGCGTCGCGCCACGAGATACCACGTGTCGCTTCATGCCGTCAGGCGCATGGGGCTGTGTATGGACCTAGTACTAAAAACAACAACTCGACCACGATGAGCCTGACGGACGTCGCCAAGACCCTCCTTTCAGGGTTCAGGCGCGCCATCGCGGAAAGATATATCGAACCTGACCTTCACTGGACGATTCAGTCCAAGGTGCATCCAAGGGCATGCGACCATGGCTCGCGGCATGGGGCGGGACACTGTGCATGTGATACACACTAGTTGTTCAGTACGTTGACGGTCTTGCACACACCTTGACGGCGCAGTCGTCTCGGCCGCCCGCATCACGTCACCCCCACACGATGCATGCTGTCGAGTGTGTCAAGCGATCCATGGGACGGTTTCGAATGGGCAGCTCGAGGCGCGACTTCGAGGCCGGCTACATTTCAACTTGGAAGCGCGCACCTTGACACACACGGCTCACTGCATCCACAATTGGTACGATTTGCGACTGCCGCACTCGTTGCGGCCATCGCCGCCGCGGCAGTCGTACAGGTGAAGAACCAAAGGTACTGCGAACTCTTGTTTGTACGGAGTGTCCACGGGTCGACGGTGGCCGACGTGTACAACACGTTCGGCCTCAACCATTGTCCAGCCAACTTGTGGAAGGACATCACGCCTGCCAACGCCAAAGACAACGACTCGATTGCCGTCGTGCTCAACGGGCCGCGGTACTGGGCCATGGACGAGTTCGAGACCAGCACGTCGGGCGTCGCCAAGGTAGTGAAGAACGTTGGCGGCATCGACATGGCGCTGGCTGGGCATGTCCCAGTGGTCATTCCGCTGCCGCCGTCGAGGTTTTATGAGCCCAACCTCGTCACGCGGAATGCTACGTTCCGGTGGAAGGCGGGCTCGATCGCGTATTTCTTGACGCGCCGGGTTCAAGTCGACCATGCAGTCACCGAGGATCACTTCATCATGCAGTCGTCCTCACAACAAGTGCTGCCTGACCTGGACGCGAGGGACCTGCGGACTCTTGTCCATCCATTGCTCCCCTTCGGTTGGACATATCGAACTCGCCGTTTGACAAAGAGCCTCAACGTCACGACGCCAGCCTTGGTTGGCGGTCGGGCCACGGTCGGCGTCGTCATTCAAGACGAGTTCCAAAACTCGTACTCGTACGTGGGCGATGTGGATGCTTATCTCGCCCGACCCAAGTCATGCACGCGTGTGAGTGTTGACGGGGACGCCACCTACTGCATCGTCGTGTCCAGTCAAAAAGTGTGCAGCGGCAGCGGGGAGTCGCCCGCCGGCGACGTGTGTCCGTTGAAAGGAGCACTGGCGGCGGGTGCTTGCCGAACGGGGATGGTTAGTTTTCACCAGGGGAATTGCATCGCCCCAAGTGACGGAAAATGCCAAAAGCTCCCGTCAGGGCCGTGGGGCTGCGTGTGGCCATCCGCGAGACCTTAGTTGGAAGAATCCGATGATAGAGGACTCTTATGCACCTTTTCCATCTTTGCCCACCAGCAGTCGACCCTTTCGAAGAAGGCACTGTTCGTGGCCGTGAGAACGAGATCGCCAGTCGTGCCTCAACACACATCCAGGGCCCATGCGCCCTCGACGTTTGTAGCAAGCCAATTCTACACCACACTCGTCGCTGTGGGATGCTCTTGCGCTGGTGGAGGGAAGGCAGGGCAAGCATTGGCTTGGATACGTGGCACACGAACTGGTGGCAGCCATCTCCAACGCCTCGGCGATGTTGACAAACGGCGGCCGTTAGCCACCCCCGAGAACGTTTGGCAGGTCCTCCAACCAAAACGAACGTGTGCAATAATACATCGCGTCACCGCAGGTCCCTTTGTCCAGGACCCCCTCGATTCTTCGATGGACTCTCCATCCTTCGACACTTTTTGCGTCGAGCATTTCCACTTTTCCCCGTACAGAAGAACGCGCTTACCCGTCCATGCGTGGAGCCATTCGCCTCGCGATCGTCGCCACGGCGGCAGCCCTCGTCGCCGCCACCTCTGCCAACAACGTCAAGAACAAGCGGTATTGTGAAGTGCTGTTTGTCCGCAATGTAAATGGGTCGACCGTCGCCGACGTGTACAACACATTTGGCCTCAACGATTGCCCCCCATCCCTTTGGAACGCTCTCACGCCTGCCAATGCCCGAGATAACACTTCGCTTGCCGTCGTGCTCAACGGGCCTCGGTACTGGCTCATGGACTCGATTCAGTCTAACGCGTCGTCGTCGGTGGTGCGACCGGTCAAGAATGTCGGCGGCATCAACATGACGCTTTCCGGCCGTGTCCCCGTGCCGCTGCCGTTGCCCGCCACGAAGCTGTACACCCCCAACTTCGTCGCGCGCAACGTGAGCTTCGTGTGGAAAGCAGGGTCGACGGTGTTCATCCTGACCCGCCACGGCGATGGACACCACGACGGCGTGAGCGACCAGTTCATCATGCAGTCGTATTCGCAGCAAGTCGACCCGATGCTCAACTTGACGTGCCTGTCGTCGCTGCGCCTCCCGCAGCTCCCGAAAGGATGGACGTACAAAGCCAAGCGCCTGCGAAAAGATGTCAACGTAACGACGCCGAGCCTTGTCGGTGGGAATGCGACCGTCGGCATCGTCATCCAAGACGACTTTCAAAACTCGTACTCGTACGTTGGCAACGTCGACGCGTACTTGCGGCGATGAACGAAACGACGAAGTAGGAAAGAGATTTAACATCGAAGCAACCTCACGATCCACATGTCGATCGCTGACGTGTTCTAGCCCACCCATGACGGTGTACCTTGGATCTTTGAGCCCCGACAGCATTCGCTCGCCCATGACACAGACTGTTGAGATGGTTGGCTCCTGCAGCCTATTCCATGGCTTCGTGCCCCTCCCCCGTGTTCAGTCGGCGCCGTTCTCCTGTCAAAGCATCGCTGTGTTTGCTCCAACGGTGGGCAACCTCCGTCAAATCCACCAGCACAGCTTTGACCGGCCGTTGCTCGATCTTGAGCTCAAAGGACTTCCCGAACGGGTCTCCGTCGCGGCCACCGTCGTCGCCTGGTTCGTGTCTGCGACTTTGAAACACGGCACTGGTGGCTCAAACGCCGACGATTTCGTCGTCGCCAAGACGAGATAGGCCTGTCGAATGCACGGAGATGTTTGACGCTCAAGAGCGTAGGGTGAAGCGGCGTCAGCATGTCAGTGGGCGCGACCGACAGCGCGCCGTCACCGTGTCCATTGTGCTGGCCAGATCCGCTAGTGCACCTCCGACGTACCGGCAACATGTGCGTGAGTTACGTAGGTCGAACAAATGGAATGATGCAGGGTATCGAATATCAAGGTTTAAATCGTTTATTGGATTGGATGTATACTGTAGGATCGGTTGTCTTTTAACAAGTTATCGAAAGAAAGCGTGTCTCTCCTGCCGCGATTGACGACATCCCTGGAACACATCGCGACGTGCCGTGACGGAGGCGCATCCGACGCAAGACCGCACGCCACGATCGAGCGGAAACTTTACACAATTCGACACGGACCATGAGTCGATGGATCGACCGGGCCGACTACGTCGTGCGCTTCCAGGAGCTTGCGGCCAAACAAGGCCCTGATGCGACGCCTGCGGTGCTGCCTCCACCTCCACAAGCCATGGTCGACCGCCTCAAGGACGACTTCCAGCTCGACTGGGACGACTTGCCACCGCTCGCGCATGAAGCGCTCTTGTGGGATTCGGGGTATATCCTTGCTACAGATGCCACGTCCACCAGCATGGATGCGTGGGTTCAAGTTCGACTGCCGTGTGACTCGAGTCGGCATATGCAGGACATTGCCATCGCGGCCAGTACGTTTCCAGGTGCTACTCAGCAATGCGCGTCGGCCAGTGGGTCGTACCTTCGTAGCAGCGACAGCACCGTCGCTGATGCAAAAGCACTCGCGGCAGTTGCGCGATGTGGCGTGTTTGTGAAGAAGGGAGTCGGCATCGCGACGTCGACGGCATCAGTCTATTCCCAGGACGCTCTGGCTGATTCAGTCGTGCCTGAGCCGCGTTTGTTTCTGCATGGGGCTGTCCACGCCATCCACACAATCCCCGATGCATCTATCGAAGCGCCAGCCGGCACATGTCCTGGCGATGGAGGCATGATCATCCCGTGCCGGTCGATCGCCTCGGAGAACGATCCAACGTTCTGCTTCCCATTGCAGAGCAGTGCAATGGTGACGTGGCTCAAAGAAATACAGCGCGCTCCGCGCAGGAGCCGCCCAGTGACATCGCCAAGGCCAACGACGATGACACCTTTGACCACGTCTGTAACGAACCCTTTCTCGTCCTCGCCGATGCCCTCCCTGCCCACCGCCGCGTCCCCTACAGGTGAAAGCTCCCCGAATCTATTGTGGTATCTCGGCGGCGGCGGCGGCGGTCTCGTCCTGCTCGTGCTGCTGCTTATCGGCCTCAGGTACCGGACAAAGCGATCGCGGCAGTTGGAATGGGACCGTGCGCAATTCCACCAAACGACCCGACGGGGTGGCTCCATGCCATCCCCACTGCCGGAGGAACTCCTGTCCTACACGAAAACAAAGCCACGCACGGCGTATGACCTCGTGCTATCACCACACGAGGCACTCCATCCGCCGCACCGTATCGAGTCGCCCAACTACTCGATTGCCCAGGACTTTGCCGACAATGGCACGACGTCGACAGGCGCGTCGGTAGCCGACGACAGCGACAGTGACCCCATGCAACGCCTTCTGCACCTCCCTCCAGCTCTCCACCTCGCGATCGAAGCCCTCGAGTGGGACGTTTTGCTCGACAGAACGTCCGCCGCAGAAATTTACTACGGCCAGTTCCAGCAATACCATGCGATTGCGCTCAAGATTCTGCAGGTCGAAGCGGCCCAGGACAGGGCCACGGTCGCGCTGTTTGTCCAGGAAGTCGTGTGCCTTGCCACATTTCGCCACGCGAGCCTTGTTCCTTTCGTTGGCTTTGGCTACGACGACGTCACGAAAAGCGCGTGCTCCCTCGTCGCCGTGACCGAGTACTGTCCGCAAGGATCGCTGCGCACGTTCCTGGGCGCAAACCCGTACTTGGACTGGAGCCTCAAGGTGTCGATGGCGCTGAGCGCGGCGCAGGGGCTGCAGTACTTGCATGCTCGCAACGTTGTCCATCGCAACTGGACCGCGCAGGCCGTGTGGATCGACTGGCCCGCTGCAAAGGTGTCCCCTTTGCACATCGATTCGTCGACGGCTTCGACGACTGGCGTCCATGTGGCGCCGGAACTGCAGCGGCAGGCCGAGATCGCCTCGACGGCGTCCGACGTGTACGCGTTTGGCGCGATGCTGTGTGAAATGGACGCTCAAATGCCGCTGAAAGGAAAGCCGAGTCTCAGTCAAACGTGCCCCGACGAAGTTGTGGCGATTGTCCGGCACTGCATGGAGCCGTCTCGGAGAAAGCGACCGACCATCGCCCAGGTCATCGATGCGCTGGTAGCGACGAGAGCCAACCTGGACGGCGACTGCAGCGGGTTTATCTAATGTATTTACAACCATCCATCCATCCTGGCACGGCCCAGATCTGGTCGCAGCAGTGTTCTCGATGGTGCAGTCGCTTCCCTTAGAGGAGTTTTCACGCCATTCGAGGTCACAGCGTCTACGCCGACAAGGGCGATTCGCTGAGTTCTTCACAACTCGAGACACAGCACCCCTTTCCCATCAACGGGATCGAAAGCCCACTTCCCTAGCAAGTCGTCCTCCCGTCGGTGCAGTCCTGGGCATGCACGCAGTGTGAGAAGATGTTGTAGTTGTCGAAATCGATCAAATGTCCCCCAACCAGGATATCTGCGGACTGGATTTAGCCAGAAAAGCTCTCATTCAAGTCGTCGCCACATGGCGGTGCGTAACCACAATCGGACTAGCTGCGACCAGCAGTCGGGTTTCACGCAGCTTCGACAGACGTTGAAATGGACTGCCATTGCACGGACGAGATCCCCGTGGAGGCGATTCAAGACATGCCAAAGTGTTCGCTCTCAGAGAATGGTATTGAAGTCTCCTCAGTATAGTTTAGGAAGAACGAAAGTCAATGTTTGCATCTTCTCATCGTCGAACTCTACACGTTGGCTAAACATGCACAGCTACTGGCGTCGCGTCGTCTTTGGGTCAGTTGTAAAGCAAGCTATGCTCAGCGGGGCCAGACACCCACCGCGGGTGGACGTAAGGACCCTCATACAAGAGGTGTCAGAAATCGAGCGAATCATCACTCCAAAGACGGCGACGACACATGCACACACACACACAAGTGGTTCCTCAGAAACAGCCAAAGGTATCCGCAGTGGTTTGCTCAGACGGTAATTCCAAAAGATTGGAGTCATTGGAACGCTTTCTGCTACTCTCTCCTACACATACGACGCCGGCGCTTTGCCGCGGGAGTTGCTGGCCTCGTCGGCTCCAATTCCAGAATGGCTCCATGCAACCACCACCACAGTTTGGGCCACCAATGGTTGATGGAGACCTGTGATTGGATCATCTTTCAACCAATCATATGGTTGTATCATTTTTAGCCAATCATATCTGTAAAGCAAATGGATTGGTTGAAATTCACTGTTAGTGAAGGAAAAAATGTACTATGTACTAGTAGTAGTTAACAGTAAAATCACGCATTCACGTTAGTAATATACATAAAAACAAAAAACATCGGCAGCACGTCAGAATGGCACAATTGTCGACAAAGACATCGAGCGGATGCAACGTGATGTGGCACGTCGAGTGAGGAGCTGTTTGCGGTCGGGGGTACCGCTGCAAGGAAGAAACTGCATATCGACTGCGTCTTCTGCTGGGAACCTCGTGTCAGAGTGTGGTGGGACTCAGGTTGCCCGATTTGTACAACAGAGATTCCGTTGATGAAGCGCATCGACTGGACGCAAGCCATAGACTTTGTCGACCTGAACGCAGGCAGCCAGTTGCCCGCGGGATGTTCGAGAAATGCTGGCGAAACTGCACGCCCAAGCGTTGCCCTCTGGCACGGTCGGGCAAGGAGCGCCAGCGTTTGCGCTCATGTGGTCCGTGCTGCCACCGCCGCATCGATGGCTTGGCACTCACGCGATCAACTCACCACCGTTCACGACGCGTATGGAGAGTATGTATGTGTGGTTTCTCGTCAACGTCCGCCCGTCCTTTCAGAGATGGACAAGGTTTAAAATCTCGCTAGCCATCCCATGAAGGCACGGGCGCACTCGTCGGTATTTTCACATCACTGTTTCCATATATTGCTAGTGCACAACTCGACGAGCGGATCAGCCTCCAAAACCCCAAGCGTTGGACCCCTCGTCGGCGTCTGCGTTCCAAGTGAACGAGTTGGCACCAACTAGACACAGCAAATGAGGACGTCATGGTCGTTGGAACAGGTTGCGTACACTTGACACCCTTGGCTGGTGGACACCCGCCGTGTAAACTCTTTGGCTCGAGTTTGTTGTCCCACGTCTGGCCATAAAAGAGCGACATGTGGAGCTTCTTGGGCGGCACGGCCAGCCCCTCGGAGCACTCGTCCATCCCTTGGCGTTCAATGTTGGTGACCAGTCGTTCCTTGGAGTACGGGAACACGGTCTCGCCGCCTTCTTCCACATCGTTCAAGTACAAGAACAACGTGACAAAACGATTCGGCTCAAAGTGCTCGACGTGGACAGGCGGAGTGTACGCAAACAACTCTGCGACGTCGGACGCCCCTGTGCGTCGCGTCCAAGCGTCGACTGCGGCGTGGAAGATGGGGACAAACTGCCGTGCACCGTCCAAGATGACGTCCGTGTCCTTTTCGTGGGCCACGAGCCATTCGGCCCACTCCGACGAGCCCCACAACGCCGTCAGTTCCTCGACCGAGTGATCTTCCAAAATGTAACGAGCCAACTACATTGTCATCACGTCGTAAAGTCGAGAAAAGAAAGCGCCAACAAAACCCGACATCAATCGGTCATATCATGGCTAGGCGGGAACAATCACGTAGTGGCGTTCCAGCTGCAGAATCAAAAAGGTCATTCAAGGACGGCATGGTACCTTGGTTTGGAACTTGGACCGGAACGAGGGGTAGTCGGTGCCGGTGGGGCGCACATGAGGTGGAGCGGCCTCTCCCAAGTCCTGAATGCGCTCCTTCAACCATCGGATCCATCGAAAGTAGTGCGTCACACCGCTCACGGGACCTTTCGGGATGCTAGTGTGAAAACACAGTCAGGTTCGACTCATCCCGTCATGACGCCCCAGATTGGCATCCATCCATCGTGTGTAGGCACGTACTTGTACTTCAGCGACGGCAGCCCACTCTTTTTCTCCCATGCTTGGATCATGTACGGCAGCATGTATCCGCGGCTTTCGAGCAGAATGTCCACGATGCCGTGGGCTCTGTTCTCGACGTTTTCGATGATCCACTTGCCCCAGTCAACGTCGGCTTTGTCTTCAAAAAAGTTGGTACGCTCCGATTCTTCCAAGAACAACTTGAGCCATTCGATCTGCCACGTCACCTTGTCGGACGGGTTCGGGTACAGGGGCCCTCCCGGCTGGAACATTGAAGGCACGACGCTGCTCGTGTCGTCGGCGCTGTCCGCATCCTGTCGGCGCTCCTCCATCAACGTGTCAATTTGACGTGCCGCCCACTCTGCCCACGTCTTGTAGTCCTTCAACGCTTCGTTTTTTTTGCCCAAAAAGTCCTTGGACTCAAAGTAATCTTCGTGCTTGCGAAAGAACTGTCCCGCTTCGTACCGGACCAACTGCATCCGCTCCACGAAGGATGGGCTCGGCAACCGCGCCAGTCGCGCAGAGCGGTGGCGGAAGTCCCGCGTGAACCGATTGTCGGCAAGGAATGCAGTGTTGCTCGTGCGGTCGGCATGGTACCCATCGACGGCGTCGGGCGAGTCCACGGGACTTCGGGAGAGGCTCTTGCTCCCATACTCGATGATCGCATTGGCTTCGTCGAGGGTGAAGAAGCCTTCGCAGTCAAACACTAGTGGAGACAACGAGATCGTCGTCATCGTTACGTTCTCGATGCGGCGAACGTAGCCGACTCGGACTCCTGGCCACACCCATATTTGGAAATCGGTCAAAATGTACGCCAAGCGTTCAACGTCGAGCTCGGCAGCAGTCGCGATTGGGTTGCCCATGCTGTTGTACAAACGTAGTCCATTGGGAAAGTAGTCTGGGTCAGCGCCAAGAGCAGTCGCGGCGGCCGTCGTGAGCGCATGCAGGCAGTCGTCCGACTCCTTGTTCCAGTGGTAATAGAGCCCCGTGTCGTGGCCGTTGAGTAGCAGTAGCACCTTGTTCTCTTGGCGAAGTGTGTCGGCGTGAAGGAGTGCGGCTTCGACGTGCCCATGTTCGTGGCTAACAATCTGAGGAGTCCATCCAGCGCACAAGGCGGCGTCGTCTTCAGGGAGCAACTTCCGTGTCGTGATATGGACGACATCGCTCGCGTACTTGCTCCCGACAAAGTCAAACATACCCGGGGAAAATTTACTCGACGAGTTCGTGATACTGAGAAGAGCTCGGGGATTAAACTTGACGCCGTCCACCTTGACCTTGTACACTGCCATGGCAAGGGCAGCGACAATGGGGAGAAGCACCATGCGCAGACTGAAATTCGTCTGTACTTTCTTCGACAATTCATTTCGGGCAAGGAGCTTTTGAGAGAGCTTGACGGGGGATTCTGGCTCGGGCTGACCCGTTATGTCTTCGTTGTCACGTGTGCCAGGTGTCGTCGATGCACCGTCGGTGGCGTTGTCACTGTCGGATTCACTTTCGTCACCAGACGCTGCCGCCTTCGCGGCTTCCTTGGCCTTGAGCGCAGCAGCCTTCTCCTCCGCGGCGCTCATCGGGATGCGACTCAAATACTGAACCTTCCTCGGGTGCATGTTGTCTCAGTTTGCTCACTGCCGCAGTGCTGCGTGTTTCTTTTCCCAACAAAAACATGCATAGATAAATCTATCCAATGAAATTCATTTGTTATCTCTTCAAGCGATTGGATTGGTAGATTTTCCAGTCTGAGTTATCATGGTCAGATATTCGTGCGGTATGTTCGACGGAAAGGTCCATCTCTCGTCCCATCCTCTCCTCTACATGCCAAGACCTTTTACCTGGTGTACACTACCTACCACCGCCGCTACCATCTATCTCTCTGCGTCCGCACGTTGTAATCCAGGCTGTGTGTTGGGCACAGTTCGACACAGCGACGGTTTTTCCATGGAAAGCTCCTTGCTACAACGCCGTCCGGATGATTTCCACCAATCAGAGGGCAGAACGTAACAACCGGCCTTTCCTGCTACCTGATTGGCTGATGGAACGGATGTATGTCACTAGCGCCAACTCTCCACCTGGTGCGCAAAGACATGGCCGTGGAGAAGACGACCAAGGGTAAGAAGCTGGCGGCGACGCGGGACGACCAGCCAGAAGCTGAGGAAAACTCGCGTGTACCGTCGCCTGCGCAAAAGAAGAGAGCGTTGGCTTCCGGCGGCGGATCGATTTGGGGACTCCGACTCGTCGGGGTGGCTGCACTTGTCGCAGCGATTGCCTATGCAACGTCGATCTTGACTGTTCGAGACTTACCAGTCCTCGTGCGATCGCTCATCGGTTCAGACACGTCTGTACCGTCGTCCATCCCGGCCTCGGCCTTTGACCCTGTCGGCAACAAGTATGCCAGTGAAATCGTCAAGATCTCCACTCGCAAGCTCCTCGTCCCCGACGCGTCGTGCACTGCGACTCCGGCCATTCTGGGCGACTTGGCTCACGTCGACACTGCCCTTGGTCGTGCCAACGAACTCCGCGCCGAAAACAAGGTGTTTCTCCTCTTGAACGGCCAAAACGACGGTCTGTACGTGGAGTGGTCCAAAGACTCGGCCTGCCTCCACGCCCTTGCAGCCACAGCGGCCACCGCCCTTGGCGCGAACCCCGACTACTTTCCGAATGGATTGCGTTTGTACAATGGCATGGGGCTTCCGATCTCGACTACCACCGACCTCGACACCGAACGCCTGGCATACATTTTGATCGACTTTCAGATCTGGGTGTGGCCTGGCATCCGCGTCGGGTACGTTCGCCAGGTCGGCAACGTGACGATGAAGACGATATCGTTATCGCCGCTCGTGTTTGACTGCGAGGGCTTTTTCAACCTGGACGAAGCGAACGCGATCATCGCGCATGGGAGCGACAAACTAACGCGAAGCCCTGTGGACTCTCCGGACGCCGTCGACGGGTACCATGCCGACCGCACGAGCAACACAGCATTCTTGGATGACACTCAGTTTACGAGGGACTTCCGCACACGCACGGCGGCCCTGGCACGACTGCCAAGCCCTTCGTTCGTCGAGCGGATGCAGTTGGTCCGGTACGAAGCGGGACAGTTCTTTCGCAAGCACGAAGATTACTTTGAGTCCAAGGACTTTTTGGGCAAAAAGAATGACGCGTTGAAGGACTACAAAACGTGGGCAGCGTGGGCTGCAGCATCGATCGACGTGCTCGAGGACAAGTCGACACTCCCCGAAGCGTTCCATCGAGGGCATCCATTGTATCCTGCCCCGGACGACATTGTGACGTGGCAGCTGGCGCTCCTTGAGGGTTTTTTGGCCGATACGCTTGACACATCGTTCTATTCCGACCACGGCGATCAGCCGTGGGCCGACTGGCTCCTGGAGAACTTCGACAACCAAGCGCATGGAATCATCGATACGCTGCTCAAAGACAAGGAGTACATGCTGGACGCCATCATTGCGAGCTGGGAGAAACGAGTGGATGTGACGGTGCATCCGACATTGCATTACGTGTACGTCATGGGCTGCATATGGCACAATTGATGGATGGTGTGTGTGTGCAGCAAACCCAAGGAAGCCCCCAGTGCCGTGACGCAATACTTTCGATGGATTCGATGGGCCAAGGAACGTGTGGACGATCTCGGCGACGAAGCGCCCGTCCATGTTCGACCCGACGGCAAGGACTACCCGTCGTACCGCCTCACGTTTCAAAACAAGGTAGGGGCGGTTCGTCCGATCCATGTTGACTCGGTGTGTGTAGCTGGTCGAGTACATTTTGAAAGACAAAACCCCCGACGAGCTCGACGCATTCCTCGGCCCCGACTGGGCCGCGTGGCTCGACACCAACAAAGACTCGATCGACGTGTTGCTCGATGGCCTTCGCCTGAAACCCGAGTTGTTTTCACTGGCTGTGGATGCATGGACCAAGCGAGCCGGCCCGGGTTTGTTCGACTACGACGTGCCCCAGTATCTCCACCACTTTGAGCCGAATCGGTTTGTCACGTTGTTTTTGTACCTGAACGACGTCGACGAAGGCGGCGAGACCGTATTCCCGTACTCCAAGGAACGACTCGTCACCAACATTGAACGCCAAGGGATGGACGAGTGCTCGGAAGGCCTCGCCGTACCGCCCACGAAACTTCACGCGTCGCTGTTTTACGCACAAACGCCCGAAAACAACTTGGACCCACTCAGCCTGCACGGCGGATGTCCGCCCTCGAAAGGCGTCAAGTGTATGTGTGCCGTCGGTCGCAACGCTCTCGTTTGATTTCCTCATCGCGATTGTGTGTAGTTGGGGCCAACTCGTTCACGTGGAACGCCGACGCGGACGAAGGATCCGTCGCCTGGGGGTTTTAAGCGCCGTCGAGACAGTCACGTTGATTGCATTCCATAAATCGCGTCTTGAGAGACTGCCACGTCATTATTTCATTTTTAGTATGGTTTAGGTTTTTCCTTTTGATTGGCTATAAATCTGCAAATGGAGAAACATGATTGGCTGTTGAAGTAAAAAAAAAACTGGAGGGCGGATGTATTGCCCACTTGGAGATCGTTTGACGTGCTATAATGATGGATACGACACTTCTTTCGCGATCGTCGTCGACGCCTTCGAATACGACGTGCAGATCCGCTCAAGAGAAGAGGACGCACGGCGTCTTCATTGTGCTGGTGGTGATTGCCGCATCCTTTGCAGCAGGCACGCTCGCTGACTGTGGCTACACGCAGCGCAAGTCAACGCAAGCGTGTGCAATTCGCTTTCAAATTTGGATCTGGTCTGGCATCCGAGTCGGCCAAGTCCGGGGTGGCGTTGGCGATGGCTTCCACTTGTGGCCGACATTGTTGGTCCCTACTCGTGTTAAACGTCGGCGACGAGCCTTACGGCACGGAGTCACATCGCCTTCTCGAACGACAACGAGTTCTTGCATATCTTTCGTGTGTGCGGGGACAAGCTCGTCATGTGTCGAGCGCGCGCAATTCGTGCGGTACGAAGCGGAACAGTTTTCCGCCGTCAAGAATACTACTTTCACAACAAAGCCATTTCAAAAACGTCCCAGGGTTGTCGGGCACAAGGCGAGGTGTGCGACCAGTAACTGAGTCGTTGTGTTCGACATTCCGAACAACGGGCGACGTGGTAGTCGGCTGTTTCGCCTCGCGCACCAGTGGGGAACCTGGCCATACCGATCGTATGCACTTTACAAACCACGCGATTCCAGAGTGGGGCGACGGACTCAACGATAGCTTGCACCGAAGGGGCGTGGAAGAAGGGGGCGAGACCGAGAAAGAACGTATAAACCATGTCGCTTTGGGACAGCCCAGCCTCGCAGCAGCGACGGATGATACAATATCCGCCCAGAGAATGCGCACACCAGAGCGTAAACGACTGTGTGCATGTTTGTCTTTTCCACGTTGAAAGGGAACGTCTCTTGACCGGAACTATACGACAGTGCATGGCCAGATGCTCCGAGTGCCTCCGTGAAACCTGCCACGCGTCGCGGTGTTCCAGACCTGGGACTCAAGGTCGACCCCATGACCAACCATGGCAGGTGTCCGCGTGCTCCAACGGGCCAAATGCACGGTTCGAAATGGACTGTTCATGACCTGGACTCCTTGTCTAGAGCCCATTTCATTTGCGTAGACGCGGGCGACGATGCGCATGCGTTGGGGTTGTGAGGCAGTCAAGGAAGGCTCGACGAGAGTGGTTTGACGAGATGGATTACATGCGGTACAGCTTGGCACTTTTGGTTTGTTCCAAGTCAACCTTGTGACCAAACAAGTCGCGGATGTTGCTCAGACGGTACTTGATCATGGTGGGGCGTTCCAGCGACAGCCCCCACGCGATCACGCGGACATTTTCCGGCAGTCCCATCGGGCGCAACATTTCTGGGCGGAACACGCCCGAGTTGCCAATTTCCGTCCACTTTTTCAAGTCGGGGTGGTACGCAAACACCTCCATCGACGGCTCCGTGTACGGGTTGTACGCTGGCTTGAAGCGCATTTGCGTGATGCCTGGTCAGTCGCATGACGAGTCATGGACATGCCCAACTCGAACACACGTACCGATCTTCTTGAAGAAGCCAGAAATGACCCCGATCAAGTCGCCCAAACTCAAATCGTAATCGGCAATCACGCCTTCGACTTGGTGGAATTCGGCCAAGTGCGTCGCGTCCATGCTTTCATTGCGGAACACGCGGTCGATCGAAAAGTACTTTTGCGGCGTGAACCCCCCAGGTTGCTACACCAACGACACCGCCCGTCAGGTGTATCCATCGGCGCTACGGGCACTACTTACGTTGGCCAGCTTGTACAGCATGCGGGCAGACACTGCCGTCGTGTGCGTGCGCAGCAAGTTCTTGAACGATTCGTCGCGCGTGAATGCGCCACGGCCGTGGCTGGGTCAAGTCGTGAGGTTCGACCAAAGAAAATGCACCAAGGTCGGGTTACCCGATCGAGCCATGGCCACCATGCTCGTGCATATCGCGCACGCGCTCAAAGTAGTCCTCAGGGACGGAGACGGCCTTGGCAGGAGCTACCACCAGCCCTCCCCCTTAAGCATGCAACGCGACTCTTCCATACGAACGTACTTGTAAGGAAGAAAGTGTCGTGGGCATCGCGCGCAGGGTGGGATTGGGGTTGGAAGAGCGCGTCAAAGTTCCAAAAGCTGCTCTCGACCCATCGGTTCGTCGGCATTTCATCGAATCTGCGGATTCGCGAGGCAGTTATATAGAGGATAGCTTGAGAACGCCATACGGCTGGACGTACCCCATGTCCATTAACACGCGGCGGAACTCGGCGCGAACCTTCATGAGCGGATGCAAGTGGCCCCCGCCGACAGCTAACCCCATCGTGTTGAAGTTGTACGGCTTGAACTTCTCCGTCTTCCACTCCTCGCTGTCCAGCAAGTCCTTGTTGAGACCTGCGGCTTGTCGCTTGCGTTGCAACGCAAAGTTGGGTCCCTTTCCGACACGGTACGACTTGCGGACTCTACAGATCGGTAAGAAGTGGAACTGAACTTGTCCCGAGCGACGCACTGAAGGGAGATGAGCTTGCGACGCTTGAGGTCCTTTGACACATCGTCGGGCACTTGGTCCACGCTTCCGTGGGCAGACGCGACAAGTTTGAGTTGTTCCGTTGCAGTATCCTTCACGGTCTCAACCTGCGAATCTCCCGCCATGAGAACAACTCGTTTGATGGAATGGTCGAACGTACGTTGCGGAAGATGAGCCCCGTCGCCTTGTCCATGCGAATCCACTTGTTCTTCATGCACGCTCCTTGTGCGACCTTGAAGTGCGCGGCACCGAGGACTCCTTCCAACGTGACTTTGTCCGCACCTTCCGAGGCAGGGATGGCGTGAAACAACTGCACTTCGGGACTGCCGTGGGCAAGGAAGCTCTCTGCTTCGTCGGACAAGACCCAGAATGACGTCGACAGGTCGGAGGCCGTCACAAACGCATCGACGAGCAAACTCTTGACGACGCCCACGACGAGCTCATGGTCCAAGTTCTGGTTCGATGCATACGCGAACGTGTCGTCCACGGTGTTGGACGCATGGAGGAATTGCAGCAGTTGCGTCTCGGCCGCCAGCTTCTCTTGATCCGAGTAACTCATCAGGCGTCGTGTGTGCGAATGAAGAATGGCCACCACACTTCCGACCGACACGGGAATTTTCCCTGCCAGACAATAACCGAATAAAAATCCCATTCATAATTCTATCCAATCAGATAAATACCACGAAAGCTTAAGCCAATCAAAAATAGGAAGAAAAGTAATCCGCATTCAAGCATGGTCCCGAAACGTGCCAAGCGGAGGTACTAGGTGCCATCGAACGACTTCGCTCTGACGGCGCAGCTCCGATGCAGCATTCCCTCTGGGGTGTCGACCACTTCGCCTTGCGTGTTGGCTCAGCACGGGCAACGAATTCGGTTTACTGCGACGCAGTCGTATATTAACGTTAGCATTGGCATCGGTAGCCCGCAGATTGGCATCGCAAGTGTTCGACGAAGGCCGGGTCATGGAGGGAGTCTTCGCCGACAACGAACGCGGCCGCCATGCCCATGGCAAAGTGCGACGCAATATGGCAATGCAGCGCCCACGCGCCGACGTTGTTGGCGACAAATCGAATCTTGGCCCACCCGCAGCCAGTCCCGGGGGTACCGCCAGGCTGGTTGTATGCGGCATGGTGGGGGTAGACCGCCACAATGTCACGCTTGACGGCTATCGTGCGGTCCGAGGCGACGGACGATGGATCGTAGTTTCCCGCCCCGCTGTTGACCACCCAGAAACTGTGGCCGTGCAAGTGCCACGGATGCATTTCGCACACGCCGCTCAGAGCTACGTTGTTCTGCAACACAATATCGACAACCTGGCCGGTTTTGAAGTACGCTTTGGGACGAGCTCCCACCGGACGCGACGACACGGTGCTGGCAATCACGTCTTCGAGCAGCGTCGAGTGGTGGTAATCTTCGTACACGATGCCATTAATCGCCCATCGGCGCAGGGTTCCATTGACGCCCCAAACGACTTGAGTGCCGTTGACGAGAACGGGCGGCGCCGACGCAGGGGGAATCGTCGTCGCTTGGTCGTCCAACGGAGAAAACTGTTCTTGCCATCCCACGGTTTCGTTGATCGCGGGCAACAACGCAGGCGGCGTCGCCGGTGGGTCGCCCGCGCCCGTGTAGTGCAGCACCGAGAATCCGTTCGTGGGAGGGTTAAGACGCCACTTGCCCGTCATTTGCATCCAGTAGTTGTCCACGGGTTGGTCAGCAGTGACCAGGAGCGACATGCGTTGGCCAGGAAGGACTTCGATGTAGTCGAGCGTCGTGGGCACGACATACGTGCCTTCTAGCTCCACCAGCTTGAGTTTGTGCTGAGGAATGCGGAAATGCACCGCGAAGAGGGACGTCGCCCCGACCAGTCGAAGGCGGTACGTCTGGCCCTGTTGCACATCCAACGAAGCGTACCTCGTGTCTGGCGCCGAGCAGTTGGTGGCTATCGTCTTGCCGTTGGTTAAGAACGCCTGCACCAAGAAACGGGTCAGGATTGCATGGGTAGCAGCGCTCGATGGCGCCGACGTGTGCAGGATTACCTGAGGGGCTCCGACAAACTTGGACACTGGCGCGTCGACGAGGCCAGCGTACAACGTGTCGATGTCGGCCGTCCAATAGTCGGACAACATCAAGATGCGGTCTTCGTAAGTGGCGTACGGGTCGTAGCCGTCAGCGGCCTTGACCACAAGTGGGCCATACACGTGTAAGTCGAGGAGCTTGACGTGTGCATGGTAAAAGAACGTGCCATGGTCAGCCATGATGGAAGAGTGCACGGCGGTGGACCGGGGGGGCATCGGCATGGTCGTCACACCGGACGCGCCGTCCGAGAACGGGGTGCCGACTTGATTGATGCCATGCAAGTGCATCGAGAACGGTTCGTCCAGTTGGTTGACGATTGTGAGGCGGAGGCGGTCGCCTTGGGAGACAGTGATCGGTGGTCCCGTGAACGTGCCATTGACGAGCAACACGGACGCGTGCCGGCAGTCCGGCGCGGCCATGCCGCGAGAAATCACGAGCGTTTCAGACACATCGGACCACCCCACGGCACCGAGAGCCATCACAACGAGCGACACGAGCGACACCTGCATGGGCCACGGCCGACCGAATTTGACAATGACGAAGCGACGAGTTTCGGCGGACGCTGCATGCGGTCACGTCCAAGAGTCACTCTCGCCGCCATCTGATCGTTGGGTCGACATATGCCATCTGTTCCGTGGGTCGCACGACCAGCGGACGGGACCCAAGGGGCTGGTCCGAGGCCACGACCGACTTTGGACTGCTCCGGGTCGCGGATGCCAGATCTTCGTGAGGTGCAGGAGTCCCCCGATTGCTCGAGGACAGTGCACGACGAGGCGCGGCTGTGAGACAGGTTTGTGTCGACGGGTTGCTTGCCTCCAACACTCAGGTTGATCGCTCCTGTGCTTTGTCCGAGCGCGGACACTCCGATGCCAGCAAAGGCCACCTGGTTGACCGGTCTTGCTATGGTTGATGGCAGAGGACATTTCGGGGGATGGACACGATGGAGTTGTGCTGCGGACCTTTTCTAGCGCGGCCCGATAATGTCATTGTGCGCTGGTGTCCGCAACCGCACGGCATTTGTGGTGGTGCCACTCTGCCAACGGAGCATGGCTGACGTAACAGCGCTCGCAGTTGCGATGGGCGTACGCACAGCACAGCTCAAAGAGACTCGACGAGTTGTTTTGTCGGCACTGCAAGCGACACAAATGCAACGACCCGACGCTACGCTGTGGACGTGCGAGTGTGCGGCATGGACACAGAAACGCCGGCACGAAGGGCGTTGGTGCGTGAACGACTGGGGTGGCGACGTCGAGATCCACCAAAGCGGTTCTGCTTGGTGACGTTGGTGTGTTAGCCAGCTGACACAGAGTGGGGCCGTCCATAGCTGTCCAAGCACACACGAATCATGACGATCGAGTCGACCTGCGGAGCAGACTTGCAACCGCCGCCTTTGCCGCCATGATGGGCCGCAACGGTTCCCCGACCCAATCGCATCTTGTGCCCAAGATTGCTATGAAACCGCCATTTCGGTGCTGATGGCGGCCGCCGATGGAGCGACGCAACGGCACTTTTGGACTTCATGCCGAAACTCAACGAAGCCATCCGCCTGGCGGAGGCTTCGAATTGGCAAGGCCTGCTCACCCTCGTGACGGCATCGCCATCGTGTGCACGGGACTGCGATGATTATGGCATGCTTCCTATCCACTGGGCAGCCACCGAGAACACGGCACCACTTGCTCTGCTTGAGCGACTGATTGAAGCCTACCCGGAAGGCGTCCAGGTGCCCAACAAGGCCGAATTGCTTCCACTGCACATCGCGATCCGGGCCAGGGCAGGTGTGCCGACGCTGCAACTCCTTCTCACAGCTTACCCAGAAAGCATTTGGGTTGAAACACCTTCGGGGACGCCACCGACAATCCTCGGCGTCCAGAGCTGCCTGTCTTCCGACGCGCTTGACCTCCTCCGCGCCACCGAGCGCCTTGTCGCCCCCGACGCCAAGGGGGGCAATCAAAAGGCTGTTAAGTTGCCGACGCCGGTGATATCCCCAACCCACCAGAGCACCAATCGCCCGCATTCGTGGCACACCATCTCCCGATATACATCGACCCCGGCTACTAAGACATCACCGCCGCACGCGGCGCCCCTCGAACTGTCGTACGAACAGTCGGACGGTAACTCGTCCGAGGACAACAACTCGCCATGCGCCGAGCCCCAGTCCACATTGACGTCTGCGACGATTCCACCAGCATGGATGCTCATTGAGGAGTGCTTTGTGTGCCGTGTGCCATTCAACATGTTCAAGCACCGCCACCACTGCCGCAACTGCGGCATGTCCATCTGCAGTGCCCATAGCGCAGAAACCAAGATGATGATGCCTGGCTACACGAATCCTCAGCGAGCGTGTTTGAACTGTGCGGCGGTCCTACGGCGGCCACCACCACCTGCTGCATCGCAAGCAAACGACAAGCAGCACCGACGACGAACGTCCAAGTTGTTCACCTCCATGGTGTCCCCCAAGTCGCGAGACAAGCAGGATCGACGCGACCTGCGGCTCCGCGTCGCCGAACTCACCAAGCAGATGGATCAATTGATGCAGACTAACATGGGCATGCAACAGCAGCTGCTCGATCAGGAAGAACTCAAAGCGGAGACGATGTTGCTCATCACGCAAGTCATGACCCGGGTGTCGGTCCTGGAGCTCCAGAATGAAAAGTACCGGCAAAGCGACGATTTTGCCATGTAACGAACGACAAATGCCACCCATTCGAGCTCCGCGACGAAGTAGAGTGGAGTGTTGTCGTGTTGATCGTATCTGCCACACATCGCAAGTTACGTTCCTAGAATACGCACAACGTGGCACGGTCTAGCTTTCGAGGCGGGGACGTTCGCCGATTTCTTCCTTGACGTAAACGACAGGTGCGTGGTGGGCGTGACTGTGGCTGGTCTTGTTGCCCAAGTTGGCGATCGTGTCGACGGTCAAGTAGACCGCAAAGATTCCGGCGGCCATGCCGAAGCCAGGCACAGGCTTCTTGATGCACCCCGTCAGGAAAGGATGGCTCCGCCACGCGTCTTGGCCCGCTAATACCATCGTGTTCTGTACTGCGCTCGACGGCTTTCGACCACTCGTGAGGTGACTTTGAGGTCGAACTTAACTGGCACCATACATGCAATAAATAGTCCACTTAAATACGATAATCTCAGTCCCTTCTCAATACAAATTCAAAGTATAATATTGTCGCAAGGAGACGAACATTGTCACGACGGGGGGACAAACTGTTGACCTAACATTTCAGTAATATTGCCAATACTTGAATTAAACTCAGGTTTTGTATGTTTCGATATAAAAATTGTAACGACGTGATGCATGACATGCCTTGTCTTGTCGCGAGGACGAGTTGCACCAAGCCTGCATTAAATTTGTTTTGTTGCGATGAAATACAGTTACGAAGAGATATTTAAGATTGTTTAAAATATCAACTTTGTCCATCGTGTGAAAATCTTTGGGATGTGGGATGCCATCTGCCGCGCGAGGAAGCGCGTCGGGCATTGGGCCAGCCAGCACCAAACACTTCTCGTAGGAACTGGCGTTGTCGTTGCATGCAGTGCTGGGGCATACTACATGGTTCGCCGTGTTGTGAACGAAGCCGAGAACATGACGAAGGATATCCAGCGCCAAATCGCCGAGCAACAGCGCCTGGGTGTGCACCTTCGCCGGACTGAAGAAGAATGCAAAGCCGCGTTCCTTCGGTTCCTGCCATCCATGAAGACACGCATCTACAAACAATTGGACTTGGAGCATATCGTGGAGAGCCTCAAAGTCCTCGACAAGAACGAGAAAGACACTCGCGATATGTTGTGGGACGACGCCAAGCTCATCGGTACGTAGCCTTGTCCGTTGTCTAAGGTCTCATCCACCGACAGGATTCACACGACTGTACGCAAGTGTGTATGCGTATTGCTCGCTGCAAGTTCTATTGCATTGCGAGCTTCTCATCATGGGCCGCGAAACGTTCGACAAGGCCGCAGCGCATGCCAATGAGGTTGACAACTGGTGGCGCATGGCGCATCACAAACTCACCACAAGTTCGGTCTTGTAGCTTGACGGCAAAGAAGATGACATCGAAGACGCGAAAGACACGCTGACCAGGCAGCACCAGTTCCTGTCGTCGACGATGGACTACTTCTTCACAACCGGGCTGCCCAAGCTCATCGAAGCAGTCGAGGTGCACATCCACGGCAACGCGGAGCTTCACTCGTAAGGTCTATTTTCAATGCGCCTTCGAATCGGCGCCGACGCAGCAGCATGGTTTTAGATGGCGAGTGCATGAAAAGCGGCAAGTTCAAGCGGACGAGCTGCATGCGCTCCTGGGCGAGTTACACGTGGCTCCGCAGTGGTCGGTCGAGCAATGGCAGCTGTTCCTCATTTGTACGATGTGCGCGACGTTGTTTGGTTGACGTGATGGTCTCTCTGTAGTCCCAGAGACACCTGCCGCCATCGTGGAGCCGTCGTCAGCATCGGCCAAGCCGTGGCTTAACGAACTCCGTGATATTCTAGACAGGTGCCACCATTTCCTTCACCGCCATCTTCTTTTCATGAGTTGCATGGCGTATATGCACAGTCCGTTCCTTCTGCAGGCGCTGCAGGACGCCACCAACAGCGCGTTTGAGCGGATGACGACCCGCCTCGTGGCATCGTTGTTTCACATCCCGCAAAAACAAGATGTTCCGTTGGCAAAGATTATCCCGCAACTCAAAAGTGAAGCCGCCAACTTGTTCAAGCCACAACTCCAAGACGAACTCTGGGACGACTTGACGAAACGCGATTCGCTCCAGCACCTGACAACGTCGATCTTTGCCCCAAATGCCGCGTCCATTCCTTCGTACGGCCTGGACGCGCCGCGCTCATGTCATAACCCGTTTTGGTGGTAGGACGTGGGTGTAGCCAATGCAAAAGGAAAGCACCGAGCGGGGCTTGGAAAGTATTCAAAGGAACCTGTCGCAACTAACTCGACAAACACAATCGGTACATTTGCGTTTGCAAGTCCAGCTGGCTCGCCAGCGCCTGGACGACGTCGCGCTTTGTCTGGAGGGACTTGAGCACGGTGAATTCCACGCTCGTGGGTGGCAACCATCGTTTGAAGTGAGTGCACACGAACGAGAGCTCGACGTGTAAGTGCGTCAGGCACCACGACGACGCGGCCGCGGCGACCTCGTTTCGAATGCGACCTTCCAAATAGGTCGCGATCTTGGCGACACACTGCTTCAACATGGAGTCGACGTACGCCGGCTCGGGAATACTTCGCTCGACGTCGTGGCGCCACGTCACGAGCAGCAGGAGCACCGAGAAAAAGTACTGTCTTGACTCGTCGCCGTGGTGTCCGGTGTCATTGTCGTCGTCGGCAACTGACGTTGACGGTGCCTCGGCCACTTCTTCAGCCTCGAGCGCTGTGTCCAAGGCTTCCAGGCGAGGAGCCAGGAACGCTTGAAAAAACTCTTCCTTCATCGCACCGACGGGCTGGAGAATTTCGTGGATGTGCTTTGGATGCAGCGCAAACCACTTGAACAGAAGCGGGCTCAACAGTCCGTCCAGCTCCACAGCGTTAGCCAACGCGACCAACGGCGCGTGGCCAGGACCACTGGTACCGCGAAGTGTGGACGCGGGGACGGATTCAACCATCCCATGTAAGGTATCGGCAAACACCGCCACGAGCGCCGTGATGCCCGACGCCGCGCCATCATATAGTGCAGGACAAAACACAGTGCGGTGGGCTTCGTCTGAAGGACTTGTGTTGGTTTCGGTGCTTGCCGTCAGAACTGGATGCACCGATTGCCACCACTTGGCCACCTTCATGTCGTTGTTAGAACGTTTCGAAGAGGAAGGCTGTACCAGGTTATGCCATGCAAAAGCAGCGCCCGTCAGTGCCCCCTTGTTCGTGGTACTACAAGTGAAATCAACGGGCGTGCGCTTCGCCAAGGCATCCATCGCGTTGGTCCACTCATTTTGCACTGGATACGCCAGCCATTCGTTTTCAGTGCGTTGGGTTTGTGCGGCGAGACATGCCAGGAGCCCATCCTGACGGAGTTGGACGCAGCAACGCTGCTTGAGCGCGGCCACTTTCGCATTCAGCACCGAGTCCGGGCAAGGTTTCAAGCTATCGAACTGGACAAACAAGGAATGGATGGATGCCGTGAACTCGGGCGTTGTGCACAGGCCGACCAGGTGGTCCTCCAAGTGCTTGACTGTGCTGGTCAAAACGACAACCACAGACGTGTGGAGGGCCTCCTGCTCGGCCGCCGTGAGCGCCGCCGCTTTCATGGTGTCGCAGACGAGGCCCCAAACACTTTGGCCAAACGTGGTGATGATACCTTGACAAATGGAGACAATTTCAAGAGGAGTGCGTGGAGGCACTTGCGTCACCGTGGATGATGCTGTTTTGAGCTTGTGGGGCGGTTTACCGAGCGGCTTTCCGCCTGGAGCGTCGGTGGGTGGTCCCGTGGCACAAAGAAGCAATTGCTTTTCCACCGCAGCAAGCTGGTGCTTGACACAGATGAGGGCGGGCTTTGGCACCAATTGTAGCCATTCCAGCGCTTGAATCGCTTCTCTCTATTCATCGACGAAACGAAACAATTCGATGAACGACGCTACAGGATAGGGTACATGGGTGGCTAAAGGTGCAGTGGGAGACTCGACGACGTGTAGGAGCTCTGCGTTTGCTTGGACGGCCGTTGCATGGGCAGCATCGAAGACCTGGCCATCGCGCTTTCGATGAGGCAACTTCGATCACCTGACATCTACCGGTTTGAGAAGAGTCGACAAGTTGGCTTTGGCGACATTCGACTTGAGCTGCAGGTACTCTTCAACTAACTGGAAAACGAACGTTTTGGTTCACAAAAAGCGATCGTAGTGGACGAGTACCTTAAGAAAGTCCCGTTGCTGGAGGTGACTGCGGAGTCTCGCAGGAACTTCGAGCATTGGGCGGAAGCGATGGAACACCGCCATGGCGTGCTGAATCTTGCGCTGCTCTTCACAGCGCTGAAGCATCAATGAAAGCGTCACATCCGTGCTATTTTTCAGCTTTTGGTACGCCGCCGTTAAGAGCTCGCTGTCGGCTTGGTGGGCACGGATTTCTTCTGCCACCTTGATGACATGTTGAAAGTGAGTACAATCTTCAGTTTCACGTACTTCTCGTATCGCTTCGTGGCACGACAAGTACTCGTCAAAATGGGAAGCCACGAGAGCTTTCAATTGCTCCGTTTTGTCCGATGTCGACCGCTTGAGCGATTGCAGTTCCGCAACCAGCGCCGAGTACTTGGTTGTCTGGAAAGGAGGGGTGAGCTCACGACGAGTACCGTGTACACCAACCAAGGCCCTACCGCGTGCTTGGTAGCTAGGTAATCCTTGGCACTGAACTCTGTCGAGTTCATGTCAAGCTTTGGATCGATGCGCTCGCGGAAGATATCGTCGTCGTCCATCTTGGTCGCAAAACTGAACCGCCGCCGATTTGGATCCACGAAATCCGGATAAACGACCATGTCCGCATATAAACGACTTTCGCATAAAATCGTCAATTACAGCGACTCTCGAATGAATTCGCATAAAATATCGGATTGGACAAGATTTCTGAACCGATTAAAATTCGACGTGGACGCGACCAGCGTTGCCTTGGCTGAGCTTTTGGGACTTCAGGTCGTAGATGAGCTCTTGGTAGTCATCCAAATCGACAGGAACTGGGGCCCGCAAGACACATTTGTCGCGCTTGGGGGTTCGCTGCCGCTTGAGTTTGGCGAGGACCACCGTGTTTTGGCCAGTTGTTGCTAGCCAACACTGTAAGCTATCACCTGGGCAAGCAATTTGATGGCTGTACCTTTCTTGGGTTTGTCTGGTTTTGGAGCCATCGCAGCCGGAGCTTTGTCGCGGTGGCTCGTTTCGCCTTTGAGAACTTGCCAGATTTGCATGTGCCCGTCCACCGACGGTGGCTGCAAGTGAAATTTTTCCAAGAGGCCGTGAAATGGCCCTGGAATCGTCACGGGGCTGCATCGCATCGCATCTCGAAATGGACGGCTGAAATTCGTCCGCAGCGCTTTCCGCAATTTGACTTTGCGCTTGACAATGTCCTGGTTGTGTGTGGCGGTGGCGTCTTCATGACTCAAGTACTCCTGGAGCTGTAGCAGCCGATGCGACCACACGATATATATGAACTTGACGAACTCGGGGTATTGAATCAACCGGTCGCATGACGTGTCCAGCGCCGCCATCATCAAGTAAATCTGCAAACTCGTAAGTCAGGATCGCCATCGAGAATGTGTCGTACTTGGTGTTTTGACAAACTGCCCACACCCTCTTTGTACGTTAGAAACCGGATCAACGTGGCAAACTCAGCCACCGATATCGCGCCCGAATTGTCTCGGTCGAATGCCTGTAGATGATTTATGCCTTTGCATTCGAGCAGTTGTAAGTACCTGCCACGCTTGGTGTAGAGTCAGGTCATGCTCCTCCAGGCGCTCAATCATCAGGACAAGGCCTTCCTTCACTGCAAGCATGTCATTGCTCATGGCGTTTCCTGGTGTGGGGTCGCCAAATGCAGCGGAGAACGCTGACCACGAAATTTCCCCTTCGTTGGCAGCATCAAGCCGGCGAAATACCAAATCTAGTGCACGTTGAACGGCATCAACCAAAATATCCGTCCCGAGCCACACGCTACCAAACTGATGCCAGGACATGTGAATCCCCAGGAGGGCCATCAACCCGCCCTCAAACTTGAGCCTCGACAACTTGGCTGTGTCATGGAGCCACCTTGCGCCGTTGTTTTTGAGCGCACATAAATCGGCAAAGACGCGCTCGAGACCAGAGACTGGATGCGCCATGTCCTCCTTCTTCTCGTCCTCGTCGTCGCCAAAGTCACTCGCCGCGTCTTTGTCTAGCGCTGCCTGGTGCTCGGCTGCCACTTCCAGCGCTTCAGCGTGTCTCCAAATTGCCTGCCGACAATAGCTAAATGACCGCCGACCTCGTACGACGACCTACTTGTTTGAGAACTTCGATGATTTCGTCCGTGTTGGCCACAAGCGGCATCTCCAATCGTGGTGGTGCCACTTGCTCAAGGACTTGTTCCATTGCGCCTTCGTAGCCGGATCTCGTTTGCTCATCTTTGGCCATCACGGCGGCAACCTTCTCGATGGCCGTTTGAACACGCTTGGGCTTTGCCGCTCCCGTGTACTCAAACGTCCATCGCTTCGTCGCTTCGTCCGCCTCGCGTTGGTCGCGGCGCTGGGTCTTCTTCTTGGATTGCGCTTTGTAAGCCAACTTGGATCGCTCGATTTCGTGGTGGCCTTTGGCGTTGAGGTCGACTGGCGGTCGTGGCCCTTGTGGTGGCCGATCGTTTGGCTTGCGAACGACGGTGCCACGGGTTGACCTGGGTTCTTCCTCCGGAGCGTTGACGGCGCTTTCGCCACCCTTGGTGTCTTGAAATCTGTTCACAGCAGACGCGGCGCTAAACTTCTCCTGCAGTTGCTGAATCTATGGTATGACCGGTCGCCTCAACAATGGAAACAAAAACCACGCCATCGTACTCGTGCGAGGAGTTTTCGACGATGAAGAGGCTGCTGGATCTGGAAGTGCTGGTCCATGTCGTCGGGGGTTAAGCTCAGCAGAAGATGGCCATCCACGGATGCGTCCATGAAAGCAGGGATATACTGAGGGAGCTCCACGTCCACTTCGAGCCATGCACTCACGTCAGCCACCTTCCACGACGCAACCGCTGACTCGTCCGGGCCTTGCTGCTGTGGCTTTCGCGGCGCGGCGGCGAGTGTTACGCGAGAAACAGACGAAGCCTTCACGGCATCGTCCACGGAAAGCGCTACCATGGGTGCGATAGCTGGATTCGAATGAATTGAAGGTCCTTTGGACGCTGCCATGATGGATGGTGCATCGTCAATTCCGTCGTCATCGTCATCACTGTAGTCACTGTAGTGAATACGACTCGGCGACTTTGGAGGCTTCCATGGCGGGGACGACAGAGCTCCTGACGCATTCTTGGACTGTGCGGGCTCGTCCTTGTCGACTTTGCTGTCGTCGTCCTCATCCGTGTCATTCTCGAGCTCTTCGACGTCGAGAGGATTGGATGGCTGTAGATTTGCAGGCTTCGTCGACGCCTCGTCTGCCAGCGCATGCACGAATTGCATCCTGTCTAAATACTCTTCCCAAGATATCTTGCCATCTTTGTTGGTGTCCATGGCCGCAAAGAGGGCATCCAGTCCGCCCACCAACTTGGCAGCACTCTGCAGCATGTGCATGGACGCCTACAGCAAGATGAGAGACATTGTTTGCAAGGACCCGAACGCACGCTATCCGTGGCAGCCGCCTCTTTGAGCCTGTCAATGTCGAGCGGCGTGCATTCGTCACCACCAAGGCTCAAGAACGCCTTCTTCATCGCGGCCGTTCCTTCCGCCAGCTGCAATGCCTTGGCTTCCGCGTCGTCCGGTGAGGTCGCCACCCCCGGAACAAACTCAATTGCGACGGTTGCGGTCGCTTTGTCGTCGCTCCTGTTGTGATTCCTTCCAACGCATGTTATCGGCACCACTTCATTGACGTATTTGGCGGGCATCGCAATGTACTGCAGCAAGTTGAGCTGGCCAAACCCGACCTTGGTTCGCGTCGACGTCGCTTTGCTTTGTGCGTACAGGACGACCTGGAGAAGTGGCGGCGTGTGCTCTCTAAAGTTGGAGTATTGCATCTCCCGTACTGCGTGGGGCTGCCACGCGATGGTTTGGTCCGTCTTGTCTTCGACCTTGGCTCTTACCGAGGGGGACTTTACCCATGGACTGTTGCGCAAGACGCGAAACTCGACAAAGTATGAGGTGCCGTGGACGACAGGAACGCCGTCCACATGGTCGATCGAGATCTGGACCAGCCCTTGCGTCGGAGGCATGTACACGACGCTGATTTCGAATGCAGGAGACGCCTCGTTGCCGTGCCCCGCACTTGCTTTCGATTCGTTGCTTGTGTAATGGAATTCACGTCGAGGCGTGTGCAATATCGCGCGCACGTCGTCCGGCCCCAGGGCAATGCACTGGTTCGTCTTGGGCGACTCGACGAGAAATGTCAAGTCGTTGTGCGGAAGGTTCCTCTTGAGCGGTTCATCTTGCCACGGGACAGGAAGCACGCCCATCTCGACGAGGCGAAATGCGGTATATGCTGGCAGTGTCGCGTCCGGGCGCTGAAACGCTGCCCGAACTTCCCACGGCTTTGATCCGTACGTATACAAAACCCCCGCCAAGTTCGGACTTTCTTTTGTGTCTTCCCCTGCCGACGTGACACTGACAGCATCGACAAATCCCGACTTGTCCAGCTGCCCGCGTTTGAGGCGCAAGTGGATTTTCCCGAGCTCGGTGTCCGTGGCCGCTCCAGCCGCATCCGACGATAGCGGGAGCCAAACATCGCGCAGTTTCCCGTCGTAGAGGACTTCTTTCGGCACGACAAAGCGACTCGCACCAATGGTTCCGTCACCTTTCCTCTTCACGTCCTGGTTGCGAACGGACACCGTCAAGACGGGGAGCACTGTCGAGTCCAGCCCGAGGAGCGGTAGTTCAAACGTTTCGTGCCACGCCGGATCCGTGCCGCCATCAATGTGTGCCTTTGTCTAGACGTTGCTCATGAGCTGTGCCGTTAGACAATCCTGCACATATACCTGAACATGGTGGCCGAGAAAGTCTAGCTCGACAAACGGGTCTTGCGCGTCCGTGGCATCGATTGTAGTGTCCTGGGCCGACCATACAGCCCGGCCTTCCACCACTTGAACAGTCAGGACGTCGGTGAATGTGGTTTTTGGCACCGGCGATGTTTTGAGGAATTGCACCTCGACTTTGACCTGCGCCACAACCGCCGCACTCTTGCTGCACACGGGGTACCACACGACGTCGACGTGACCCTTGTGCATCACGAACGGAAACAACGGAACGTTGTCGAGCTCGCCAAGCACTGGCGCGTCGTCAGCATTGTCGCTGTGACACAGCACTTGGAAATGCAGCGACGGGAGGATGTGGTGGCTGTCTCTGTCGGGCATGGTGAAGTCAAAGAGCAGCGGCGCCTTCCACTCGCAGAAGGAATAGTCGCCCAGGTCAGACACACAAGGAGGTGTTGCTTTGGTTTGGGACACCGCATCGTGACGAAGCGTGCAGCGAACGAACGGTCGGAACGCGTCGTTCGTTCGAAATGCAGCCGACGTGACGTTAACATGGATTTGGCCGGGTTCAGGTGCCACGAACGGGTCGTCAAAAGGCTGCACGGTGGTGTCGAAAGGCAAGAACTGGATCGCCAAATGCAGCGACGGCACGTCCGCCAGGGTTGACTGTCCTTTTTGGAGCTGGAATGTTGTCAAGGGATACGTGCCAAAATGTGTTTCAAGCGGGTGTACGACAAATGCCGCCGCATGGATTGTGCAATGGGCCAAGATCGGCAACTGGCTCGCCACGCCAGCCCCCTACACGGACATTAGTTTATCGTCTCCTAGCGTCGCCAAGACACGCTTACGAGATCCACGAGCTCCATGCGAATCGTCCGAGCACTTGTCAACTCTGGTGTCCACTCCATGTCGAACATAACCGTCTCGTTCCATGTTGGATGCACGATGTGGCGCTTTTCAGGCTGCGTCACGTACGAAAACTTTGTGCTCTCGACAAAGACCCGCACGGCCGGCACCTGCACGGAATCCATGAAGCATCGCGGGTGGGAGCAGCCCTACCATGCCAGACACACACGGCAAGTTGGTCCCAGACAGGACCTTGACGGCCATTTTGCCACGGCCACCGAGGCAGTTGATGTACTTGGTCGGGGGCTCCATGCACACTCTGGTTGCGTTGTCCGGGACGAATCTGTACTCGAGTCGCAGTTCTCCCGCAGGTTCTTGGTCGTGGAAGAGGTTAAACCAGCCCTCACTCCACCGCTGCTGGTGCTTTCCATCCTGACCGCTCATTTGAATCAACGAGTACACGCTCAGGTGGCACGCCCCGATCATCGCGTCCGGCACGTTGTCCTCTTCGCCGGAATCCAACACTCGAATCGTCACGATTTCCACGTTGGAGTCGTGGATGGACAGGTTGTACACGGGCGAGTTCCATTGAGGATGGCGACCGCCATTGACACACACACCGCTTTGAGCACTCACGACGCAGCCCGGCATCAACTGGTACGTCGGGGGATCGAGCTGCAACTGCACATACGGGTCTTGCTCGCCCAGCACATCCACGTCTGCGAGATTCCGCCCCGAAATGACTCGAATCGACAGCGTTCCTCGATTCGGCTGGATCACGTCGGTAAATTGTTCGTGAAAACGGTCGTCGTTGGCGTCGCGCTGGGGCAGCGACGAAGGCGCGCCTTGAGGGACGTAGACCAGGCGCAACTTGGAAAACCCCAGCGGCTCGCGGTCGGTGGCGATGGTGGAGTTTGGCAAGCGTTTGGTAATCACTGCCTTGGGTGCCAAGAGAAGGGACTGGATCGCCATTTCATCCCTCGAAATCGCATCCTTCCCAAACGCTAAAGACAGACTCTGACGTGTCTGGCCTCTTCCAACGTGCAAGGGGGACGCACCTGAGCTGCCGTCAATGAGCTCGTACCGCAGGAGGGGGCACGTTCCCTTGGACGTAGTTTGTCTCGTCAAATCTGCAGGGCACACAAGAGCGACAGTGTGCTGCCACGACAATGTCGCATCGGACAGCACTTGAAACGGAAACATCGCGACTTGCTTGGACGCGTCGGGATCGCCGTCTGTCGCAGTCACGTGGAGCAGCGTCACGCGGAGCGAGAGCTTCTTCTTGGCCAGTTGAGCAGTGTGTCGGCTGTCAAAGGAGTCGAGCGTGACATAGAGCACTCCAGCCGTAGGCAAAGCGAGCGCGGTTTGGTCGACGAACGTCTGGAGCGTTTGGTCGGTGAAGAACGTGAGTTCCAGCATGATCTAGCAACCAAACATGACGCCTCGTGCGACCTGCGATGGACAGACCCGGGGCTTGATGATTGCCGTCGTGTCTCTAGCCGTCAGCACCACGTCGTGGTATTCGCGAAAGGATTTCGTCGGTTCCTGGCAGTACGTCGAGAGGGGAACTTTTGCCCATCCAACCAACGTTGGCCTGGAACGAACCAAGTCGAGTCAGGACAATCGACGGCGCGCACCACGTACCCTTGGAACAGATCAAGGCGGAGAAAGTCGGCTTTGGCTGTCTGAGTGTACAGCGTGAGTTGGTAATCCCACACGATGTCGGTCGTTGTTGCCATGGAATCGGGTTGCCGGGACTGGAGCGACATGCGGCTGTCGACGCACGAGCTCAGACACAGCTCGCATCGATACGGCACGTGCGGATTTTGATTCAAATCTTTCGCCATTGCAACGTGAATGTCCAATCGGCCCGGGCAGTAGCTCGAGTCGACAAACGTAGAGAGCGACGGCGTGGCCAGGCGCAGCTTTTGGCCGTGGCTGTGGCAACTGTTGCGGATGGCTTCGGGGGCCGTTTTGGACTCGTAAATGCCCGCGATGAGGATCGTTCCAGTGGGTTGACCATTTCGCTCGAGCGTGAGCTTGGTTGAAAAGAGACTGCACGCCGGTGTGGCGACGACAAACGAAGCGAGTGGGACTTCGGCGACGCCGACGACGTTCATTTCTCGAGTTTCGCCCGGCTATGCACCCCACGACGATGTTGGTTGAGACGGCGGCAATGCCAGCAGACCATCCAGCGGTTCGACACGTACCATTTGAATGTCGTTGATGGAAAAGACCACCATCGGCGATACGTGGGGGGCTGTCGGGTCCTTGTTTGGGGTGTAGTCGAGCTTGAGGTACTCGTTCCAGACAGGATCCCGTCCGGCATTTTCAAGGGGGCGAGTCTTGGCGCTGGATCGGCCGTCCTTTTGTTTTGTCACTGGACGGGGCTTCAGCGCCACCCGCACCTAAGCCACGATGACGTGCCGCGATAGTTTACGAGCTGCTGTACTTCTGGATCGATATCGTCGACGTCGACGTCATGGTCAGGAACGAGCCCTTCCGCCTTGTACACGACAAGGTGAAGCGACCCCGGGCCAAAATCAATGCACGATGTGCGGGGTGACACGATGTCGGCCTTGGACTCCAACGGCGTAAACCCCAACACCAGCGCCACGCGGCACACGACAAGGTTGTCTGGTTCATAGACGTAGGCGGGATGAAGAAGCTGCACAACTGTTCGTACCCTGGACGATCTCAACGTCGAATTCACGACCTCCGTGCTTGTCCAACAACTGCAAGACGGGTAGCTCGATAGGCCCAAGCACGGCAGTGCCAACTGTAACTTGAAGCAGCAGCACGTACGACTCAGCCGACTTGACATGAGCGGGCAAATACTGGGCTTCGTACGCGCTATTCCACACGACGAGACCGTCGGCGGTCGCATCCATTTTGTCCAAGGCACAGTCGCCTCGTCCCCACATAAAAGCCTTGCTGGTCACGACGGCGCGGACATTCTACCAGGACGATACTTTGATTTGTGTGCGACACCACGCAAGCGTGGCATCGAGACGAACCTGCCACGTGAGGACGGTGGACAGCGAATGGGCACCAAGGACGAAGAGCCGCAGCGTTCCAGGCGTAGTCGCAAACGCTTGACCTGTGAAGGTTGCATGACAACCGGGGGCTGTCGGACGCCTACCTAATTGTGTTGCCGTGGTGGCGGCGGTCGTGGCGGCCGAGAACGCAAGGGTCGGTCGGCCGGGGAGTTTGGAATGCAGCAAGGGCACTTGCTTGGAGCCATGCCAGCCCAGGACATCGACGAGACTGATCGAGTTTTGCACGAGTGGCTTGTCCCGTGCTATCGCGTGCTTGTCATGAAGGGCAAACACTACGACCGGGCATTTGTCCTTGGTCATGTTGGGATGAAGAAAGAGGGCGTATGGAATCCATAGCACGTCGTCGGGCCAGGTGAGGCGGGACTTGTTGGACTCGATGGTTTTGGTTTGAAAGGACAAGTGCCCTTGGATGGCCGACGCGTGTCGACGGACCGAGATCTCGAGGTAAACTTGGTTGTGGGCAGGGACAACGTCGGCGTAGTTGGACAACGAGAGACTGGAAATTTGGATGTGCCCGACGGCGGCACCTTTCCCTGTGGTTGTCCAGTGAGACCTCACGATTTCAAATCGATGCAGGACGAACATGTCACTTGGTTCGGGTTCCACGGCGTAAACAAGAGCGAGAGTTGGAGGTCGCCGCCACTCGCTCCGTCCACGGGACGGAATGTCTGGTCGCAGTCGAGCTTGACCACGACGGTAGCTTGGATGTGATTCGTGAGGGTCGCGACGACGTCGACGAGTCGCAGGCGTGTGGCTGCCATGAATCGGTCGCGCTTCTTGTCAAAGATGGCAATTTCGACAAACGCATGCTGGCTCGTGTCGATTTGAAACGTGTGCTTGGCATCTGACCACGTCGGTGTGAAGTGGCCGTTGATAGCTTCCGGGCACGCGATGCGATCCGGACCGACCTGAAACACAACGTACGGGTCGGCATGTTTGTCTGGTACTCCCGGCACACGTGACTGCGGTGGGAGAGTCAAGTGTTTGGCACTGTGGGCGATCAGCCGCAACGTTCCTTTGTACAAGCGCGCACTGAGGGACGTTTTGCGAGGGGACAAGGTTCGGATGGGCGGCACGGCACTGTTCGGGAGGGGGGTCTCCACGAGGAAGTACGAAAGGATGAGGACACCGCGGCCGTGGGGTGCTTTGGTTTGGAAACTCGCGTCGACATAGTCCAGACAAACGGTTTGGTTCTCGAGGGTTTTGGACCGGCCAAATGACGCGACGGGCAGGACGACCCTGGCGCCGCCGATGTAATGATCCACAAGGATGTCCTTGTCTTTGCAGTGAATCGACAACTCAATCGAGTCGTCCGTCGCAGGCACGACGAATTCGTGGACGGCGTCCCCGCCCCACGCAAACTCTTTTGTCTTGACGTTGTCAACGACAGGGTACAACTTGGTCGTCGAGCCCACGATTACAATCAGGTACGGGTCGGGTTCACAGTCCACGATGTGGTTGAGTCCGGTCTTGGGAGCCAAATTTCTCCCCCCAACAGCTTGAACTCGAAGTGTACGTTTGAAGTTTGCACCAAGAGGCAGAGTTGGCGGCAACTTTGTTGCACTGGAGTCTGGTGCTGGCATGGCCGGGTTTGATGGCTCTGACGTTTCTGCAGCTGCTGCGGCTTGCGGTGCGGCCTCACGAGGCACGTCGACTCGTTGGGGAACGGATGCAGCTGGCGCGGGAACAGTGCCATCCTTTGGCTCGGACGGGATGGAGCTGTGCTTTGTCTCTATCTCGGTCGACACTCTCTGCTGTCCTGGTGGTTGGGACGTTGCGTTTGTTGGATCCGTGAGTGTAAAACCGAGGTAAATCGTCCCTCGGGATTCCTTGGCTTTCGTCGTCAAGTCGGGCGTGGCGAACTCCAACTCGACGGTTTGCTTCCACGATGGAGTGGCGGCCATGATGTCGGCCATACGGATGCTCAACTTCGCCCCCCCGATGTAGCGGTCCTTGATCGTGTCCTTGTCCTTGCAATGGATGATAACATCAACTGCATCCCCGTCGACTGGAAACTCATGGACAGCGTCGTCGCCCCATGAAAACTCGTTCGTCTTGACGTTGTTCAGTGCCGGAAATGTCTTGGTCACGCCCGCGACAGTGAGCACGAGGTATGGATCTGGGTTGGCATCCATGAGGTGTTCCAAGCCAGTTTTGGGGGCCAAGTTCGCTCCACCGATCGCTTGGACTCGTAGCATCCGCTGGACCTTCTCGACATGTAGTAGATGAGGTGCAGGACTTTGTTCCGGTTTGGGGGATGACTGGGTTGCCGATAGCACTCCATCTCGAATATCTTGGGGACTAGGAGCTTCCCCAGGTTGTAAGATTGTCTCGGATGTCGTGGCGGGTTTGGTGGGAGATGGAATGCCCTCTTCGGCCTTTACAATAGTGTCAGCGGTTCCAGGCATACCCTTTGTATCGGGTCCACTGTTGGTTGGAGAGACAGCCTGCACTTCTGCCGAGGCGAGCACTGTCGGGGGTTCAGTTGGCCTGGTCAAAGGGTTTCCGGACTCCAGCAGGACAAAATGGAGATGAATCTTTCCCTGGGATGCCTTGGCCTTCGTCTTGAAGTCGGGCGACGCGAAGTCCAACTCGACGGTTTGCTTCCACGTTGGATTCGCGAGCATGTCTGCCATTGTCAGTCTCCACTGCGCCCCGCCGATGTAGTGGTCCTTGATCGTGTCCTTGTCCTTGCAATGGATGATAACATCAACTGCATCCCCGTCGACTGGAAACTCATGGACAGCGTCGTCGCCCCATGAAAACTCGTTCGTCTTGACGTTGTTCAGTGCCGGAAATGTCTTGGTCACGCCCGCGACAGTGAGCACGAGGTATGGATCTGGGTTGGCATCTAACATCTTCACCAGGCCAGTCTTGGGGGCCAAGTTTCCTCCTCCAATTGCTTGGATTCGTAGCATGTGCTTGACATGCCCGCCAGCAGGAGATGACGGCGCATGGGGCGTCGCTGTTGACGTTGCTGCGGTCGTGGCTGCTTGGACAGCCCCAGTGGGATTTGTGTCAGACGTCCCTCCAACACGTTCGAAGGAGAGAAGGAGTTGCCCGCGTCCTTTCTTGGTCTTGAGCTTTTCGTCGCTGAACTCGAGATCGATGGTCCTTGCGACCGGGAGCGACGTGATGTCGGTCGGGAAAGCCAGCTTGGCGCCTCCGACGTATCGCTCTTTGGCCGTGTCTTTGTCTTTCAAGTGCAGTTTGATCTCTGATGATGCGTCGGGCCATGCAAACTCGACCACGGCGTCGTCGCCCCACGCAAATTCCTTGGCGCCGACGTTCTTGACGACGGGCAAGTGCTTTTCCTCGGCCCCGATTACGACGACGACGTACGCATTCATTTTCGCTTCAAACATCCCCGCCAGACCAGTCTTGGCGGCCACATTGCGCGCCCCAATGGCTCGTATCCGCAGCGTCGGCGGCGGCATATCACGGGAAAACGTCGGGCGAAACTGTAACCGCTTTGAAATGTCCTTGTGGCCGGACACCACCAATAGCCACCATGACAGACGCGAACGACCCGCCATCTCACATGACGGCGCCGACCACGATTGCTTCCCTTCTACTCCCTGGCACCGACTGTCCTAGTGAGGCGTCCCCGCGCGGACACGACATGGAAGCAGCACTACAACTGGACCAACGCATCGATGGGCCAAACACAGCAGCACCACCACATTCAAGCGAGTCAACAACGAGCCACCAACGCTCTTCGACAGTGGTTATGCCAGAGCCGGTAGAGTCGTTGTGGTCGTGGGAGGTCATTCGAGAGTGGCGAGATCGCCCGGGCCTGGCGCGACGCCTTGCTATTGACCAAATCGTCCGCAAGCCCCGCCCGCTCCAGCACGAGTTTGGCTGTCTCTGTCGGCAAAACACCACCAACGGCATGTTTGAAGGAGACCACTGCGACGCCACAACGACTGGCGTCACGACGACTGCGGCTGGGAAATCCATTGCGATGCAATCGATGGATCCCGACCACACGTTTGGCATTGTCCAAGATGGCACAGACCTGATCTACGAAGGGGAACTTCGGGTGAACGTCCCTCATGGATACGGTGTTGGTTGCTACGGCAGCGGCGAGCGCTTTGTCGGGATTTGGGCCATGGGACAACCGTGTGGCCTAGGTCGGCTCACGTGTCCGGTCGCCCCGAACGAGTCCCATTATGGGTGGATCTTTGGCACAACCGTCGTGCACGCGTGGGAGAAGCGCGATGTAGACGTCCCGTTGCCGCCACCGCCCCAGGACCAACCGCTGCGTGGGTTGTTCGCCATGTGCAAGCGCCTCGAAGTTGCAAGGCTGCACCGGTTCCGCCAAGCCATGGATCAATGGGTGGCGGCGATATGCACACAGGTAGTGGCGACTGCGATCGACAGTCGAACGATCGCGTTCGGGGCATGGGCACAAGCGTGCATCGCGCAGCAAGCATGCATCAGGAAAGTGGGACTTCAGCTGCACTCGCAAGACACCAACGACGACTTGTTCCACAAGGTCAAGGACTTGGTCGCAATTCAACAGGCAGTCATGGAGAAGAACGAGCTGCGTCAAGCGCGGCTGCGGCACTCGATCATGACCAACACTACAACCGTCGCATGTTTGGCCATTGAGCGAAGGAGCACAGAGCTCGTGGAATGCGAGTTGGAAACCATTGAGCTCGAGCTGCAGGATGCGAAAGCGGTGCGCCATCAGAGTGCTTGTGCCCGAGGCTCATGGACATGCTGTCTGTAAACGCAGGCTGAACAACGATGCATAGCCATTCAGCAAGAGTATGCGGACGTCCGCCGACGCATCGAGCAGGGAAAGGTCAAGCTCAATGGCATGAAACAAGCCCGTCGGCCTGCTGCGTGTGTACGAAAGCCGGTGAGTCGCCAGGAATTCGCCACATTCCCGCCACTCAAATGGATTGCAGTCGCTCATGCCTAGCCGCCGACGATCGTCGACTAAGGTGTACGTGGACGACAGGCCAGAAGATGACCCCGGCGTCCAGTACGTCTGTGGGATTGAAGGGTGCGCCTGCCACGTGGACAAGAGGATCTTTCATCCTAGCGGCGATCCTATCTTTGATGCCTGACGCTCCACACCGTGACGAATGGGCCCCTGCACGAAGACAAAGGCGGTCCCCAAGAACGCGCGCTCCAACGGCGTGGGCTAGATCCTGCGCTTTGTGTCGCTGGCTACCTCAGCATAGCGCCAAGTGTGCGTAGATATGAGCTGCTTCGATTGTCCTCACATGGCACATTGTGGCAACGTAAGAGCAGCGAAAACACGGATGGCGATGCGCGACAAGAGAAAGTAAGTGGTCACGGAGGTCGAATTAGACTCGAACGACATGGACGGACTTGTCGATTCCGAGAGCGACGAACTCGGGGTGACAGGCTGACCACTTTACCTGATTGATACTTCTCGATCCGCCAGCATATCCAAGCACCGGGCGCCGATGTTGCGAAGGTTGAGAGATGTCCCACAAGAAGGCTTGGTCGTGTTCACCGACAGTGGCAATGTGATGGGCGGACCTCGGAGACCATGCGAACGCGTTGATGGCAGCACGGTTGTCCGTGGGGGATGCTGGGAGTTCCATGACGGGAATGGATGGCAGTCGAAGATCCATGACGAGTGCCGCCGGGCCGTCGGCTAGCATTGTCGCGATGTAGTTTGTGTCGAGGGGATTCCATGCTAGCCGAACAAGCGGCAGGACGTCTGCTGTCTCGTATACAATGGTGCACGAGTCTAGATTCCTAGAACGAAGCGAGTGGGCATGTAGCCCCCAGACCAACGACATACCTCAAGTCAAACACACGAAGGGTCCCGTCGCCCCCGACTGAGGCGAAGATGTTTGTCCCAGTTGAAAACGCCATGTCGAAGACTTCGGCGTCGTGGGCGATGATTTCTTTCCTGGGCACCTTATTGTTCTACGGTGGTCCCATGAGCGACATCGTGCACTAGTACGAAGGATTCATGCGCGCTCACGTTGATGTCCCAGATGCAAATCGACGTGTCGACAGAAGTTGTGGCAAGGATATTTGGGTCTGCAACGTTCCAGTCTGCGGACGTGATCGGCGATGTGTTTTCGTGTGCGCGGTACTTGCTAAACGTAGCTTTGACTTGGATCGAGTCGCCTTGCATGTGCCAGAGACGAAGGTAGTCGGCGGTCGTAACCAGCTTCGACGTCGTGCCGTCAGGACTCCACAGAACTTTTGTCGGGGGGTACGGATGATCAACAGCAGCCAACGATTGAAGCGAGACACAGTTTTTGCTCGAAGCGTCGTCCACATCCATGTCCGTTCCATCGCCTCCACATGCGATCGGATTGACCGACTCCGGAGTTGCATCGACAACTTTGAGAATCTGAAGCTGGTTCTCGTACACTTCCGTGAAGCTCGTGACGGCCAGCAGTTTTTCATCGGCCCGGTTGCACCAACTCATACCGTACACTATCCATGGACACGCGTAGGCCGCCGCGAGCGGCGCTTGCGGCAGCATCCTCAATGCTGTTTGATGATATCTTTCTACGATCGGATCCGGTTAATGAGCCAAATCTTTTTCG